TCTCTGCACTTACAGCACAGGGGGTAGGGATAGTCAATTCTACCCCCCAGCGACCGGGCTCTTTAGCCAAAGGGGAGACAGTCGGTCTCCCCCTCCGGCAGCAGAGCTGTGTATCCAAAGGGGAGACAGTCGGTCTCCCCCTCCAGCCACCAGGTTCCAACCAGACTACTCCCATGGTAGTGCTGACACAAGGGCAGAGTACCACTGGTCTCTGCCCACTCAGCAACCCACCAAGGCAGCCTACCAGTCCCCCGCACAGCCATGGTGAGGCACCTGGACATGGACAAGCTTCTCCTCTACCCAGGTGTAGTAACCATTTATTGTTGGTGGGCGGTACTACTGTTTCTGTTTTGTGGGTGGGCTGCTGGACTAACAAGGGCACTGACTGGCAGGAGGTCAGATACCCTGTTAGTCTGATTGGAAAAGGGGAGAAATGTGGCGGAACCAACCTCGCCACAGTGCACTGGAGAAGCCTGATTGCTCGCCTGCTCCCTTTAGATTATGGCCCTGCAGTTCAGAGCTGTTATTTTCCCTGCTGAAAGGTTTATTCGTGCCTTTCTGCCAGGGTGTTCGGTAGATTCCATCTACCGAACAAACTACCGAACGACGGACCACCTGGGAACTGGAGTGTGCCATCAATTGACCGCCCAGAAGCTGCGGTTAACCGCAGCTTAATTGATGAACGCTGGGTGGCCTTTGTTCGTCTGCCGAACACGTGGCAGCGGCCATTTTACCTCCCGAACGGCCAGCGGTGTTCAGCGCCCAAACTATGGAACTGAAAACGGACACTTATTGGCGCGAACACCGCTGAGCCGCCAGCCTCCTTACCTTCCCGTTCGGTAAGCAGAGCCGAATGACTGTTCATTCGGTAGTTTCGCCGGATGAACAGCATCCCCCAGATAGCTAAGCCATGGAGCCTATTCGTGTAACGAAAGACTATGGGAAAGACTTTGGCTCCATGGCGATTGAACTGTATGTATGTGATCTGAGTGCCATTCGGTAGTAATGTGCGCTCAGATCTAAGCTATCTGGGGATATGTAGAATGTCTATGTTTTATGTAGTAAATGTAACTGTATGTAATTTTATGTATTTTACTGTATTGTTACTGCCATGTGGTTAATGGAGTTTTGCCTCTGTCCTGGGAGATAATTGGATTACTTCCCAATTATCTCCAGGACAGAGAGGAGGGATTGTGATGTAATTGTGGGAGTGTTTAAAGGTGTATGTATGTGATTGGCTAAGGGTCAATATGTTTCCCAGTTTCCCATTTGGTCCCCTAGGGGAGTGTCCACCAGGTGGGAGACCTGCATAAAAGCCGGGCAGTTAGCCCCAGTAAACCAGATTCTGCTTGACCCTCAAACCGAAGTGTCATCTCGTCTTTGGGGGGATTTACTGTATGCTGTTAGAGACTGATTGCCAGGAGTGTAAGCCGCTTGTGGGCTTTTCCTGTTCATCTGCTAACAGCTATTCGTGTGTCTCTAGTTTGGGAGTTTGGAGTATTCCCTTGGTTGCAGTTCGGGAGTTGGTGAATTCGTGGGTTTGCAGTAGCTGTCTGTGCATCTGAAAAAGGGGAATATCGCCTAAACGTTTTTAACCTCTTGTGGGCAAAACGGTCCGTTACAACTATATTCTTATTGTTATGAGTTATCCCGTTACTTATTAATCAGCACACTTTAAACATAAACATAACCAAAAATCAGCCAAATCCATCCAGGGGTTAAAAAGTTAGCTGGAGGTCCCTTTATGACCGACCGCAAGCACATTTTCCTGCCCAAAACAGTTCCATAGATTTTGGCTGTGCGGTCGGTCTATTTCAGGCTGACAAAACGACTAAGTCCCATCGCCGATTGGGACTTAGTCTCTGTTACGGTACCTCCAGTAGTAAATGTACAAACCGCCGTTTAGTGAATGCTCCCCGTTCGCAATAATGTGGTCTGGTAGCGTATGCAGTATAACCATTCGAACCGCTAGCCAGGGAACACTCCAAACTCCCGAACGGTACCTGTACGGCTCCTTCCCTTCTCGAGCTCCAAATACACGAATTGCCAATATTAGCCGAATGCCAATATCTTCCAAGCGACAAATAATTCCAATAAGCAGTCTCTAGTCGCCGGTAATAAAATCCGCCCAATAATAAAGACCAAGCTCCGCTTTGAGGGTAAAACACGAACTGAGTTTACTGTGGGTTACCTGCCCGTATTTATGCAGGTCTCCCAATTGGTGACCAAGTGGGAGACTGGAATAACAGAAGGACATGGGGACATTTTCGACATACAACCCCACAATATTCCCAGCATGCATCACAGTTTCCTCCCCTCTGCTCGGTGGAAAAAGTGTCCGTTTTCAGTTCCATGAAATCAATGCCGAACACCACTGGTCTTTCGCATGGTTTAAAATGGCCGCCGCCTCATGGTCGACATACGAACGACGACCACCCGGTATTCGGTTCTTAATTGACAAGTATCTGCGGTTAACTACAATATTCTAATTGGGATCAATAGGTTAACCAGCAGCACACTTCTCTTCTGGGTGGCCGTCCGTTCGGTAGTTTTATTCGGCGGAAAAAGTCAATTCCTGCCTAAGAAAGATGGGACCACCTGGTTCTGTGTGGACTACAGGCGGCTCAACGAACGGACCACCACTGACGCCTACCCGATGCCCCGAGTAGACGAGTTATTAGACTGCATTGCCAGGGGGCGCTATCAGACCACCATAGACCTGTGTAAGGGTTATTGGCAGATCCCCCTGGCCGAGGATGCTATCCCTAAGTCGGCATTCGTCACCCCATTTGGTCTGTACCAGTTTAAGGTCATGCCATTTGGGATGAAGAATGCTCCGGCTACCTTCCAGCGTATGGTGGATAGCCTTCTCGATGGCCAAAGGTTATACAATCTAATTATCTCCAAGCGCACAAAAGACCACGTTTTATTATGTCCCAGAAAACTGCATAAAAATCCATAATAGCTCGCTTTCAGATAAATTAACCATACGAATGGCGCTCTAATCCCACAAACAGAATGGGTTATTTCTGTCGTATAAAGTCCGTTCGGCACTTTGGATTGTGAGTCTCTGATGGCGGCCATGTTTTCAGACGGTTTAGCGAGCAGCGGGACCTCGCTTCCAACTTATGGAACTAAATTCGGGTATCAATTCATGTGAAGCCCCGCTGTTGGTCTGGTAGTGGAACTCGTTCGGTACATGAACGAGGACCACCTGGTAGCATGGTACTTGAGTTGCGGTTAACCGCAGAAACCACAGGCTAATTGCTGCCACACGACCCACTGTAGGGGGTCTCCGTTCGTGTGGTTGTTCGGTAGGTTCCCTTCGGTACTTTGGGTGCGAACGTCGATCCCCCCCAGGCCCATCAATTAGTCTGTGGTTAACCGCAGACCGCAGCCGCCTGGGTGGTTAATGGCTGCCACACTCCGCTGGTCGGGTGGTCGAGCGTTCGGCACTTTGCGGGGTGACGAGGTTAAGTGGCGGCACACGCCAGCATTTGGGGGGTCCCTCGTTCGTATCACGAATAGAGTCTTTATAAGAGTTTGTGTAATCCATTCGCGTTTTCCTCGGCTTAACAGTATAGAGTGGCAACAGTAGCAATCGGTATTAACAGTAACACAGTCATTTTGAGTCTTTTGTAACACCCCCCAGGAACGAGACAAGGCTCCGTGTTGAGGGTCAAGCAGGAACAAACAGAGCTGTGGGTTTATTTTTCTTATATACACCTTAGCACCACCCACAGGGTTTTGGAACGCAACCAATAAACACATACAATACACTCAGACACTCCCACACAAAATCCTCCCCTCTGACTGTGATACAATTACCTTACACAATGGGTAATGTAATTATCACAAGCAGAGAAATACAATTTTCCACATTATTCATAACTTGAAAAGTATGCATCACATTCACAGAGAATTCACATTCACATTTTCAGAATCAGCATACTCCAAATACAAACATATGTCAAAATCATCCAAATTGGTCCAGTGGTTCAAAAGATAGATCGTAGTCCTTTGTGACCAAAGGAAGCATGGCTTTTCTGCCCAAAACCAGTTCCACAGAGTCTTCTATCCTGGAGATAATTGGGAAGTAATCCAATTATCTCCCAGGACAGAGGCAAAACTCCATTGAACACATGGCAGCAAAAGACAATAAAACACATAAAAACATATAACTGTACAGCCATTGCACAAAAATTACTCATTTCAGTGAGTAATTTAAATTCACACGTCCTCTGTACTTTGATCTCCTTGTTTTGATAGTAGAATTTAGTAATGCCTGTGTCTCCTTTTCCCCACATTCCATGCTCCTCTCCCTATTCTGATAACAGGATAACGTTCAGAGTTCAGGTCGTCTGCTGGTTATGTTCACTGTATTATTTACTAGCTTAGGATAGTGTGTGTTTTACACAGCTGTAATTCCACAGATATTACATGAAGTGTGGAATTATAAAAGCACGTTTCTTCCCATCCAGACATGTTATGCAATGGCTAGAAGGTCTAGTGGTGCAAATTGCCTGATTTGCCACAGACCATGCCTGCTAGAAGTTGAATCACTGGAATAGAGCTGGCCATCTCCTGTCCTGGCAGGATAGAGTGAGAAAGCTGTCACATTAGAGTGGGGTAAGAGTTTCATATTTAAATATTTTCTGTGCTTGCTGCAGAGAGTGTGAACATTGTCCTGAATGTTTACAGATTCAGAGTACATCCAGTGTGCAGTGAGCTCAGCTCTGTCTGTTGCATTATAGAAGTACAAACAGTGGTCACTTACTGGACCTTCTGAAATGTCACTGAAACGCACATATTGTATGAAACTCATGCTGTGTGCTTTCTTCTGTCTCATATTGCTCTGGTTTCAGCTTCCTAGGCCACTTATTAATGGTCAATGGAGTTCGATCTTACCTTTCTTGTCCTCCAAAAAAACTGGGGTTGATTTTTCATCTTTGTTTTTAGAAGATCTGCAAGAACCAAAATGCCAGGACCACCAGGTCCTCATGATCTTAGTGACTTCCCATCCGGGACACCGCAAATCAAGGAAGGCAGTAAGAGAGACGTGGGCTGCGCCAGTCACAGAAGCAACCTACACCTGGCAAGTTGTCTTTCTGATTGGTCGTACAGTGGACATTGAATTGGACTGGCATATTCATAAGGAGCAAGAGGCTTACGGTGATATCCTGATGGGCAACTACCTGGACACCTACCGAAATCTTACGTTGAAAGTGATGCATGGGATGAAGTGGGCATCAGAAAGGTGTCAACCACAGTACATTCTCAAAACCGATGATGACTGCTTTGTCAACACTGACCATCTTCCTGCCTTTTTAGCCAATCATAACATGGCCAAAACTGGTCTTTATGTTGGCTCAGTGTTTCCCAGGGAGAAACGTATGGTAATACGGGATCACACCAGCAAATGGTATGTTTCACGACAACACTTCCAGCTGGAGTTCTACCCCCCGTACGCTAGTGGCATTGGGTACATTTTATCTCTTGATGTGACTAGAACAATCCTGAATGTGGCTGAGACTATTCCACCAATTCCAGTGGAAGATGCCTATATTGGGATTTTGGCCAGGAGAGCTAAGATAAAGCTCCTTCCAAGTTCGCGGTTCACCAAGTACAACATAAAGTGGGGTATCTGTAACTACCGGTACTTAATGGTGATTCACCAGCTGCTGCCAGGAGATCAGGAATTTGCCCAGAAAAATGCACAGAGGGCAAGGACTCATTGTCGGCAAAACACTGAAGTGACACATTGGTAGTGAGAGTCCCCCTCTCATACAGGGTTATTTACTAAAGTGAGACTTTAAAGTGAATTTCAGGTCCAGATAATAAATAATCCTGTCAGTGTGTATATTCTGATCAATGGTATGTGTGTCTTTTTATAGACCAAATAAAAAAATAAATCTGTGCATATAGGAGGGAGGCTGTCAGTCAGCCTGGAGTGTGTTCATCAAAGGCCAACACTCCTCTGATTAACTAATGAGAACTAGGGGCAAACTACATTACTGTGAGTTTTATTGCTGTGGAACTTTGTGATACACACTTTACATTACTGTGAGTTTTATTGCTGTGGAGCTTTGTGATACACACTTTACATTACTGTGAGTTTTATTGCTGTGGAGCTTTGTGATACACACTTTACATTACTGAGAGTTTTATTACTGTGGAGCTCTGTAATAACCCAATACACACTGCA